TAGTTAGTAGTTAGTAGTTCGTAGTAAGTAGTAGTAGTAGTAGTCGTCGTCGTCGTCGTAGTCGTCGTCGTAGTCGTAGTCGTAGTCGTCGTAGTAATAGAAGTAGTAGTAGTAGTAGCAGCAGCAGCAGCAGCAGCAGCAGTCACAGTAGCAGTCGCAGTAGTAGTAGCAGTAGTGGTAGCAGTAGTAGTAGTAGTAGTAGTAGTAGGAGCAGCAGCAGCAGCAGTAGCAGTCACAGTAGTAGTAGCAGTAGTGGTAGCAGTAGTAGTAGTAGTAGTAGTAGCAGCAGCAGCAGCAGCAGCAGTAGTAATAGGCGGTCTCCATCGTCGTCGCCGCCGTTATAGTAGTAGCAGCAGGTGTAGCAGTAGCAACAAGCATGCAGCAAAACCTGGAGCCTTAGGTCTGCACGCGAGAGCTCACGGATCGAGCCATGCTCTCCATGCTCGCCTGCCCGTGACAAGTCCGAAGCACTAAGATGCAAAATGCAGTTCGATGCAGTCTACGAAACACGAATCATCAAAAGAAGAATTGCTGCCAGCATCATGCACTACCATTACTACCTGAACTACTACTGGCACTGGGAATACTGATTGCCATGGTTTAAAACAACCTGATGCCATATAGAAGAAACAACGTCGGACATGATGATCGCGATGATACGAATCATCATCTAACGATTTAGCGATACAAGTATGGTTCGTGATGACAATAGTGGTGACGCAGAAGCAGGCTTGGTAATCACCGCGCCTTGTGGCCTGAGTCTTGCACGAAGGGCTAGACTTCCTGGCGAAGCACCTTGCATGGGATTATCCCTGTCACCATCATCATCGTCATCTTCACGAACATCAGCACCATCACCATCACAATCATCACCATCATTATCATCTCCGTAATCTGGTGGCTTTGGTTTGCTGACATATGCCACTCCGACTCCAACAGTTTTCTAGCTCTTCTTAATTCAGGTTTGCGACAATTGACGACCCGCATAAAGCCATGTAAATTCCACCACCCAAGCCCTGATCACTCTCGAAACTAGGCTGTCATGACTTGGCATTTTGGATTTCTCTGCCAGGGGTTGCGGGCTGTGGGGCTTTGTTGCTCACGCTCGTGAGTTGGAGTTTTGATCATATTCCTTTCGCCGGTGAAGTTTTGGGAGGAGGCCACTCCCTCCCAAACACGGGGCCTTGCATATGCCAAATGCAAGCTGCTTGCCAAAGAGCCCCACATATTCCTGTTCCTGTTGTAGCAGTGAAGAGTAGGTTTCATCGCCAACTGCATCAGAACCACCATCCTCGTCACCATGGTGCTTTCATCATGGCACGGGCAAGATGAGACTCGTGGCACAGGTCATGCGAAACGAGCGAACACAGAGACCTGAAGTTGGCTCCGGAACCCACTTTGGAGCCTCGAATTTTATGGACTATACTGACTATACTTATCAAATCTTATCAGGGCCTTACCTTCTCAGCTCCGGACTCGGCTCACCGCAGTGCCTTTGCTGTGTTCTGCTTCGAGGGGCTGCTGCCATGAAACTAGGACATGACAGAAAAGGGTACCAGCATTCAGAGCAGTTGCAGGTCACCAGTCGCAGCCGTCATTCCCCTTCCGCTGTGTGCGCAGCTACCTGTCCACGCTGGTTCTGTCGCGGGGCTTGTCATCCTGTGTACTCAGCAAAAACCAGAACCACCAGTAAACCTTGCTGGCAGATCGTCGACAAGTTGAGAAGCACACCGAAGTACCCAACATTGCGGTCTGATGCAGTAAGGGCAGCTGCCTTCGCAGCCTTTGGGTGACTGCTCAGGGCTTCTCCCACGGCTGCGGAGGGTGCCTGGCATGCACGTGTCTACGTGCCATCTTTCCAGAGTTCATACGGGCTGGAGATTGTACGGTGCTCCATCTGCAGAGATGTGGGGTGCCTGGCGAGACGCAGGAGCGAAAGCTCAGCGGCGGCTCGCTGCTGCTGGGCGACAACATCCTTGGGCACACTGTCGCAATGAGCAAAAGATGAGCACATGACGAAGTAATGCAAACGCTACGAAACAGCTTGCACAACCAACGCAATGACAGCTCGAAGATGGTCCTTGCTGTCTTGTCGATGCAGGCACTTGTTGTATTTCCTCCAGGCTAACTTCCAACATCCTTTCCAATTGCGGCATTTCATACGACTGATGCGAGTGCCACGGCCACAGATGCAATCCAAAATTTAAACTATCTCAGTTGGCTTCCTTGGATGTGCCATGCATTGCCAGTCCCGGTCAGATACCGTCGTGAAACTCGCTGAATGAATGTAGAGACCCGGCAAAGCTTTGAGCGCTGTCCCAGAATGATCTGTCGTCTGTACAGTCAACTCTTCCCCTACATGAACCGCACACCGAACCGTGCACTCCCATTGATAGGCCTCAGGAAAAGCTGTTGGGGCTCGGCAACGTGTAAGTATGAGAAGGATGGTTCAATCGCAGCCGATATGCATTTCACACTGAGACCATACAAGCCTGAAGCCGGAGAAGCCATCACTCTATGAAGCTCTTATTCGCACATAGCCGGCATCCATGCATCACTGAAGCTACAAATAACAAACTCCTGTCCACTGACTGTCGTCCACAAGACACACACACACACACGCACAGGACACAGGTGCAGTGGTTTAAGTTTTGGCAGTCCTGAAATCACTGGCAACCCTGAATGGAGCACCCGTTACTCACGACCCTTGTCAAGTACTTGCCAGCAAATGTCGATGTCGCTGTGCGCAGGGCTCCAAACGGAGCACAAAGAGTTGTTTGCGTGGCCTCCAATCTCTGCTGTTGGACATGCCACTTGGAGGTTCTACATCAAACCTCGACTGAAACCACACAGGCGGATGCTAACGTCGAACGTCTGTTCCAGTCCCTTCTGCTCTGCAAGCTACGCGTCTTCAGAAGATGAGACAGAGTCTGAGACATCTAAGGCGCGAATCAAAAGAGCACGGCACTTTGCCGAGCCCCGAGCCGGCCGAGTCTTGGTACTAACATTCCATAACTAACAATACGAACATTAACGTTAACACTAACATGAATGTTAGTTTTCATGTCTTTAGTTATGAACATGAATATTCATGTTACAGTGAGCACGGGCCCATGTTCCATGTTCCGTGGCACTCTCTAATATTAAATGTAATGTCCCCCAGCCGTTCTGCAGGGCCTCCGGGCGACGGGAGGCCCAGGCCCAAGCGGCGAAGGCTGCACCCAAAGCGCGGCCAAGCTGAAGCTCCTCGGAGTTTGGAAGAGCTGTCCAGTCCCATCTCCTCGAGTCCCAAGCTAGGTCTCACCACCTGCGGAAGGCACCCGAGGCCGCTTCCGCATTGGAAGGCACCAGCTTCAACAGCGCACAGACAGAAAAACCACAAGGTTCTGATCTATCCAATCCTGCCTCACACCGGCAGTGTTTCAGGTAGAACGGTAAAACTGTATAACATAAAGCCTAGCTTTAGCATAGCTTCTGTCCACGGACTCCAGTATGTTACACTTCGCCTGGACCAGGATGCATGACCACAGTTCACCACCTTAGCAGCTTAGAATGCTTAGATGACTTCTGGCTGCTGGGCAGTCTCAATCACTTGCAGTGTGCGTCGGCGGGCCACGCGCACGGCCGACTCCAACATCTCCCCATCCTGCCTGATGCAAACAAATCTCACTCCGCTGCACCATGCTGCACCAGCAAGTCGTCGACGCAAGAAACGCTGCACTTGTCGTCAATATCGACCCCGAAGACGACCCACGGAGCAGGGCTAGAACCACTCTTAAGCCAGCACCTGGCGGCAGCCAGCACGACGGCCAGGCGCTGCTGTGTCAGGTCGCGCCTTCTTGAGTGTCTCTCTAAATCACCGAAGGGCATGAGCTGCATTCGGCTTGGACCCGGGCGCATGCCGCACGCTCCGCCGGAGCGTCCAGAGCCGGCGCTGAAGCCGAGCGCACCTCCCACAAGGCCTTTTCCGCCGAGATTGCGGTGGATGGAAGGCACCACTGCGGCAGTCCTCCGCAAGGCCTGAGCCGATTGCGGTCGCTGGCAATACAGCATGCTAAACACAACATGCATCATCTCTGCCACCCTGACAGCTACAACGGCGTGGGCCAAGAAGATCAACGAACTTCGACTGCACGCCTCATTTCACAGAGCAGATGGCCCCATTGGTTTAGGCTCTCTGATCCCCAACACCGTGAAGGCCTCGAGCCCAGGCGACCTCTTTGGCCCAGGTCACGGGACCTCTGCAAGGAGACCTCAGCTGTTTCGGCACTTCTGCGGGCTCCTGCAATCACCCTTGAGATGCCTATAGTCCACTGTACTTCCAAGTCTGGGGGAAGGGATTGCCAAGATCGGCTGTCCGGCAGTTTAAGCAACTCCGCGATTCCCGCAATGCTTCGAAGAGGCATGCTTTCGGTCCGTCAGCAGCAGAGTAAGTAGCAGCTGAGTTATCTAGATTTCATCGTGTCTAGGGTGCAGCGCGTCTCGTGACCCCATAAAACACCATAGTTTTGAGCATGCTACGCAGCAGTGTATTTCAAAGTTCTGCAACGGTGTGAACACTCTTAGCTGCTTTAGCTGCAGCGGGGCTTCGACACAATCGTCCCTGGCGTTGATCTGGAGAGTCGCTGAGCCTGACAGCAGGGGTGCAGCTGCTAAATTCCATTGGACTACAACGTCGACTACGTAGGCTTGCCAAGGAAGCAGCCCAATTATATGTTCACAGGCTGACAGCCTAGCTGGCCGCAAACTGTCAGTTGTCTCGTCCTGATTCGAAGGGCGACCTCAACTTCGAACAGGCTCACACCTCTGCATCAGAGCGCAGGGCCAAGCCCTCCATTTCTGCAGCTTTCAGCTGGCTGCACAGCAGCTCGCAGCGCGCCTTTGAAGGTGCAAGCATTTCCACCGTGAAAAACCGCTGTTTTGCAAAAGAGATGATTTGCCTCCAGCTGCCTCTTCTCCACTTGCTGCTTCTCCTCGGCTGGGGAACCCAAAGCCAAGCTCATGAGCCGGAAATCTGTCGAAGGAGGGGCAGCGGCATGGCCGGTGTGGGTTGTTGACACACAAACAGTTCCAGCCGCGAAGGATCTGCGTTGCGGTGGCAAAGACGGGGGCGGATGCTGCATGTGCTAGGCAGTGCTTGGCTGCTTTCGAGCAATCAAGCGAGTGGGGCACTGAAAAGCAAGCCCCAGACTCCCAACTGCTTTCTCTGAAGACCACTCATCCGAGCGGATCTGATCGCTTCAAGGTGCCATATGAGCCCAACCTCGCTGGAAACGCTCTGTCAGTGTATTGATCCGCGTGGTAGCTTCCTGTGACAAGGACTCGCTTCGATGTGTTTGGCAACATCAAAAGTGGATCTAAGCATCTAATGAATGCCTATGGCTGCTGTGGGCAAAGCATCCCTTTACTCACACTGTGCTCCTCTGCCCAATGTAGCACTGCATCTCGGTCGTGTTGTGCTCGCTGCGCCCGCTGTCTTGCAACTGTTGAGGAACCTCTGCAAGCTGGGAAGAGGCAGGGAGGGAAAGTAGCAATACATCGACTCTGTCCTCATCTACATCTGCCGCGGGATGTAACGTTTTGAAACCGGTGTGATTGAATCTATTTGTCGTTCTGTGCAATCTATCGTGCGATTGACTCTCGCCTGGATGTCTTGGTGGCGCCATGGATGTCTGCACTCTGCAGGCATGACGACGAGAAGACTGTAGAAGTCGCGCTCTTGCAGTTGCAGTCGGATATGCACTTCTTCCGCAGGGCCGACTGATCGCGAAACGTCTGTTGTGGTGTATAGCCCTCCCATTGCAGCATCGTCCGCGCCCAGGAGATGCAAACTGCAAGTGTGGTGCAGCGTCCAACTTAGGTCCACACCGCTTTCTGCAGCGCGGCGGCTGCGCCCAGCAGCTTGGACCAGGTCCAGGGCTTGGGCGAAGAGCCTGCGAGGAGATTTGATTCCTGTCTTCCGAGCGTCAAAGTGGCTTTGAGATGCCTGCCCGCGTAACCATCGAAGTCGGCCAGGCTGGCATTGCCCCGGCTCCACGGAGCCTCTTTGGGCTCGGTTATGGGCTCCTCCATTGCGTGGATATGGCTCTGGAGACGGCTGCAGTGCAAAAGACAGGCTGCCGCGGAGAGCGGTTCAAAACCACCCTAAGAATGAGCTTGAAATCTACTCACTGCTGTTGAATATGCTTAGTGCATTCAGCACCCTGTGACCCATATCGCAGCCCACCAGTACCATCAGCTACCTGTAAAGCCCGAGGTGCCTAGAGCAATCCGGCGGATGTTTGGCTGCATGCTGGAACCGTACTTCGAGCTGTGTTTAGGCCCCAGACATCTCAAGGAAGAAAACTTAAGCAAACAACTTCGGCATTTTGGAAGAGCCCTTCTTGCGATTGCGGCGTTGCCAAATGCCTTCTGTTCACAACTGACTGGGTCCACCCTCGCCATGCCCTGCACTCCACTGCTAACATCCGGTGCTGTCTTCTACTGATTCCGTTGTCGCTAACACTTCGGCGAAGGGTTTTCAGCTTGTCACAGCTTGTCCGAGAAGCTGGCAAATCTCCGCATCAACCGCTAGGAAACGCCAAGGACCCCAGACGGTTCCCCTGCCACGAAGAGAACAGGCAGTCGACAGTCTTTTGGTCGCACAGATGTTGAGAACTGATGTACGGGGCGTCACGGAGGCAGAAGGAGCTCAGCACGCAGGTGATCCCAAGCGTGGATGCCTACGGCCTATCGTTCCTTGCATCGCACCTTTCACCCCATCTACCCGGCGGCCTCGGGCCCATGTGAACGATACTTGAGATTGCGGTTCAGCTGAATCTCATGCGATTCGTTGAGCCATGCCGCATTAAAGACTTAATCTGAAAATTGCTGCACTGAGTGCCCAAGCCGTCAAGCAGGTAGCTAATGTGCACCATTCCGTGAGACCGAATGCAACGGAAAATCTGATCGGCACTCAAGGCAGAAGCGTGCTGCAAAAGCCTGCAAGAAGCTGCGAGACCTTCCTGCGAGCCTCGCCCGCAAAATGACGGCTGCAACAACACTCGTCAAGCTGCTGCAGGGTTCCATTAGCGGTTGAGCGGAAAGAAGCCTTTGCATCCAATGCGTGGTATTTTTGAATCCGGCATTCAAGAGAGGACGAATCGACGAATGCATGCGTTTCTGCAGACATTTGTGGGTGGCTGCAGAGGCTTCCTACGCGTTCCATCTCCAGGTTGCTTCTTCACAGCCTTCGGCACGTGCCGCTCGCTTTAACCGGCACACCAGGGCAGCCACGCAAGGAGAGAGCGAGAGAAAGAGCGAGAGAGAGAGAGAGAGAGAGAGAGAGATCGCGAGCAGCAAGAATTGTGTAGTCCTCCTGGAGGACTAGTCCAGGGCCCAGAGCTTCAGACGCTTCGGAGTCGGAAACCCTGCCTCTGCTCGGTTCGACCAGGCAGCGCATCCTGCAGGCGCGGTCGGCTGAGCAAGGCCGTACGATGTGGCTCTTGAACCGCGATGTCTGTGCAAGGCCGTGAGAACACCGGAGTCCGACAACGACTGAAGAGCAGAACAAAGGCAGCGGGACCCTCATCTGTCTGGCCGCTCGAAGATCGAGAAGGGAGCCGAAGTCTCATACTCCCGCCTACCAGGACGCGTCCAACTTCACTCTCTGTGAGTCTGAAGTCTAGCACAAGAGGCCTCTCAGGCTCTTCGTTGACAGCCGAGAAAAGCGTCGTCAGGGCCAGGAGGAAAGCAGCTGGCGTAAGTGTCGGTTTCGGCACGCTTCTTTGGGTGATCGGAGAACTGCTGTTCTTGCTATGTTGCTTCCAGACTGTCGGGTAAGAGGCAAGATTCAGCATCTACGATACTGCGGCTGTAAGCTAAAGTGCGGTTCAGCTTTCGTACACAGGACTCGTCTCAACCGAAATTCTGTTGCGGGCTTGAAAAACTGCGCAGGAGTTCAAAATGTCGAGTTGCCTCCCACGCCGATGTAAACGAAGATGGGATCCGCATCTGGCTCAGTGACCTGCCGGCAGTTCTCAGCGGCAGCTGCGCTGCATCTGAAAGGTTTAGACCTTGCTCCCGATCTTTCTCCGCTTCGCCCGGAAATGCGGCGCAGGAGAAAGGGCAAATAAACCTACCCGCCCTGTCAGAAGTTCAGGGGCCTCCACGAACTCCACGTCGTACACGGTGGCACCAAGTGGCCCAGCTGCCTGCACAGCGATTTGGCTGTCCATCGACCGAGCCTTGGGGCGCCTCCTTGCAGAGTCCGAGCACATCCGAGCACCAGGCTTCTTCAGGATCGTCGATGCCCTCCTGCAAAGAAAAACGGCATTGCAAACGGGCGCCGGCAACTTCAAGCTCGGATTCCAGAGGCTTCAAACGAAACCCCCAGCGGTCCACACCAAATCCGAGCTCTGCTGGGATCCAGAACCTGGGGGACACAGAAGTCTCGGAGAGCTCATCGCATCGGAGAGCTGGGACTTCGACCGCCGCTTCTCCCCTGGCGACATCATTTGAAGACCTTCCTGCCATCCTGCCACAGCTCTACTTGAAGCAGGTCTGCCGAATCGTAAGCGGTGTCACGGGCTCCTGGGATGACGCTCGTAATCTTTACCTTCGTCTGCTCTTGTCTCAAGTAGGAGCCTTGGCAAAGGAATCACTTCTTTGCCATCCCATAGCAGGCAGCATAACAAGTGCACACGAAAAGCCAAGCGCGGGGCTGTCAATCAAGTCCCCGTTGCTCGCCTTCCATCCGGTATACCTGGAACAAGGCGCGTTCGCATGCCTATGGTCCAGAATCTGAGAGTCGTCATGTCTGGAGACATCGAAGGCTGCTTCGCAACATGCTGAACTGAGTTTTCTCTGCCACCGGACCTATTATGAGCTATGTCAATACTTCCGCCTGACGATGACCGTGTCCGACCGGAGCGGGGGCAGCCTTCAGTTGTTCACATTGGAGAAGCTTACGATGAAGCTAGGAGAATCACACGCGGCTTGTGTTCACAAAATGTTGTAGATTTACCCCTCGCAAGGAAAGAGTGGCCGGCATCGAATCTGTAGCATGCCACGAACCATCGGTCGTATGTCATAAGGATCATCCTGGCCCGGGCTGCCGACCCGCCGTCGCCCTGCTCCAGCACTTTCCAGGCCAAGCCGGATGAGCTCCTGGCTTTCGTCGCAATAGGCAAGTCTGCTTGCACTCCCTGCTCCCTCGCAGGTTCCGTGCCTCTCACAAAGAACTGGAGCTGTCAGGTCCGCAGGCGGCGCATAGCGTCCTGCACGTGGCGACTGGATATCGATGCTTCCCCTTTCAGGCCCTACTGTTACTGTTACTGTGGCGACAGAGTACCATAAATTCTCGCGAAGCAGGGCCTAGCCGCCTAGCCCCCTTCACCGCGTGGCATCTTGCAGTTGCACCACCATGGCCCCCCCAAGCTCCTAAGTTCCACGTCCTGCTGCCGGGCTGGCTGCTTCTGCTCGCAGCGGCAGCTTGGAAGCCCTGGGTGTGACCTACCGGCCGACAACAGTGGTAAGTGTACGGCTCGCACTCCGATCCACAGGCGTCGCAAACGAGAGTAGGCGATGGATGTTGATTTAAGGAAGCTGTTGAGGCCACGGGGCTGGCAGACACTGGCACAGGTGGCTCACAGCACTGCGAGAGCTCCATATGCGACAGCTGCCGAGCAGCTGCCGAGCTCATGTTCCAGCTGCCCCGCCTGGCCCCGGCTCGGGATGATCCAGGCCACGGCCCACTGCGATGCCCGACATGCCACCTCCAGCAGTTTCAAGCTCTTGGACATGGCAGGTTCTGCAACCTGATACGTTGAAGTAACTTATGGCAATTCCGATATCCAGTAGCAAGAGTCGGCTTCAGAGCTGCGTCTGTTTCCAACGCACACAATCCTTCTCCTCCTCCATAGCCTTCAGTGATGACTGGTCTTCATGCAATGCTAGGAAGCCACTACCTCTTGATCTGACATGGTAGGGAATCTACTTTTGTAACAACAGGTTGTTCGATTGCTTTGCAACCACTCGAGTTTCCAATTCGAAAGTGGCTCCCTTCTGCGGAACCTGGCCAGGTTCGTGGCAGGCAGAGCTTCACATTGCTGGAGCTTCTACGGCCAGTCTGTGCTAGCAGTGGCAGCGCGCTCAAAGCCAGCACCGTCCTCCCTGGTGCTCTCCTTTCGACAGTGCGACAGTGCCCCTGCAGCTAATCTGAGAGGCGCTGCGCATCAACCGCCAGAGCGGATGGCTTTGCAGAGCTGGGCTTGCTCTTCTTGGCCGTGCTTATTCCTGCTGCTTTGGTTTGCGTAGGGGATTGATAAGGCGAAACTAGTCTGCACTGACCAGCCACCGGCACTGGGTGTGAGTCGCAAGAGTCTTGCAGGCCCCTCCAGGCAGGTGGGTGGAGCCTGCACGGAGCTTATGCCCTGACTCGGCGGAACGGCACTCGGTCCACAGATTTGAGCCGGCCGTAGGACTTAAGCGGCCCGAGGCTGGGAGCACAAATCTGTGCTGGAGCATTAATCTGGTGACACCACAATGGATATGAGACAATTCAGGCATCATAGCCCAAGGCAGCCCGAGCTTGCCAAGGCAGGTGAGAGGGCGTTTTTGTAGCGAGTCTGCTTCAAGGATCTGTAATGCTTGGTGGGAGTGCGTTCGGAAGCCATGGCGCTTGGCAATGTGGCTGTCTCCTTCGCTATAGACACCAGGGCAGCCCTCATACCATGCTGACCATGACGGGGAACACATCCCAGGCCTGGGGCCAGCAGCACACAAAAGGTTACGAGTCTTACTGAGCCCAAAGCACTGGCAAGAGGTCTAATCAATAGTGAAATCGTCGAGGCGGGTCCCTATGCAACGACAACCACCTACTCAATGGATCGTGGCTGTAGTTAAACGGAGACAATCGTACAAGCTCCGGACGCTAGGAGAATCCGCCGCCATCGCAGCCGCAGCCTCCACAGCAGCCCCCACAGCCGCCATCGCACCCGCCGCATCCCCCACATCCACCATCACAACCACCGAAGCCGCAGCCGCCGTCGCAGCCGCCGCAACCGCAGCCGCCACAGCCGCCGCAGCCGCCGCAGCCGCCGCAGCCTCCACAGCCGCCTCGGACACCGCGAAAAAAAAATCGATGAGGAGATGACGAGCACAACCCTTCGCGCGAGTGGCAAAGGATTAGGGATCTTGCCGTCGAAGCCGCCACAGCCTCCGCAGCCACCGTCCATCCTCAGCATGGTCAAGCAGGCACCACGGTTGCCCGAGCTCCTTTACAAACCCCTTCGTCGATTTCCGGTGAAAAAATTCTTGAACTAAGCCGCCCTTGTCGTGTATGTAGTTCTGGCACTAGAAAAGAAAGGAAAGGGCACCACCACCCGCGGACAAGCTTTGACGACAGGACTGCAGCAGACTTTTTGCTGTCTGCTCTAGACTGACCATACACCACTGAAAAATGCAACTGGATACCTCAGTCACTCGAATGTGTTTTGTAGAGTTCACAGGTCTTCTGAATCAGGTCCTACCGAAGCAAGCATTACAATCTTCTTGTTGTCCTCATTCCTGATAGGTGATTTCTGTAACTTTCGCCCGGTAACAGCAAGCCATTTTGCACCTCAAACAAGGTGAAGCAACCCATCAGCTTCGCCACCACCGGAAATCCATACCCGGCTGGGGTCGTGGCCCGCAGCCACCATCGCAGCCGCCAGCAGGGTAGGGCTCTGCACCTTGCATTTGGTCGGAGGGTAGCCCTGCGGAAGCCCGTCGGTACATGCCATGTGCTTGACCACACTTTGTTAAAGTGATAGCATGTCAGTGAGCATCCTTGGCTTTTGCCTTCCAGCTGAGCGTGAGGCGGAAGCCTCCTGGACCCATGTCCGGAGCTTTGCCATAGCCATCTCCACCTGCGCAGGGCATCACGCCCGCCAGGGCCCTAATGACCACAAGTCGGTGTTGTATCGGCCAAAGCCCACGCCTCCCCAAGCTCCGCCCTGCGGCGCGGCGCCCTTTCCACCGGTGGGCGCTGCTCCGGTGACCTTCGGGGCATGTGCGGGAGCTTCCTGCACGAGTCGCCCGATCGCTCAGAACGTGTCATCGCGTGTGCGAGCCGCCCAAACTCTAACTCATGAGACTCAGAAAGAGCCAATGAAACGGGCTCCGAGAAGCAAGAAGCAAGTAGAACTAACCAGAACTCAACACGCAACAGATCAAAGGAAAGAACGACACCAGTGGGGGCGGGATGCATCGCACGTGCTTCAGCACAGCATTGAGATGCAGCCAAGACTCGCTAGTGGCCTGGGTATCTCAAAGAAGGAACTTCGTGCATCAACTGAAGACTCGCACGGGAGCCTTTCACGAGGACGATTCGAAATGGCGCAGCATGGCTGGGCTGCGCACTGTGTACTTCTGCTTTGTGGCATTCCACTGGGCCTCACCCAGGCTTGGAATAGTCATGTCACGAGCTCCCTCGGACGCCTAGACGGTGGGAATGTGCCCTGCTTTGGTCAAGGCCCGGCAGCGACAGCCTCTTTTGTTGACCCGAGCCCTGGGCGGTGTACTGCACCGTCGAGTTCTGGATCAGGGTCTGGCCGTCGGATAGGGCCGTCCTGCAAGCTCCTAGGATCTCCTGCTGAGCTGAGGTTAAGACCCCTTCAAGGGCAGCAGGGCAGTCCTGTGAACATAACAATCGTCACCACCTCCCTCGGGGCTAACGAAGCCGAAGCCTTTTTCCTCGAACCACACCTGGCGGGCGAGATTGGGCTTGGAGATGCTGCACGGACCGGCTCCGGAGGGTCCAAAGCCTTGACTATGCCAGTCGATTGCATAGTGGGTCCGGCGAGTCCTGAGGCATTTGCAAGCTCAACACTGGCCTCCTCGCAGGGTGCTGCAGGCTGGCTTGGTGGTTTGTTATTACATGCAGATAACTTAACTAGTCATGGAGGCAGGTGAACAGACTTTCGGCGATTTAGCTACAAATGGGTGGGCAAATAGCAAGGCACGAACGTGGATGAACTGAATTGCTTCGGCTTCGTGCTGTATGGCGTGCCACTTTGAATGCCAAGCTTCCTGGCTGGCCACCACCACCACCCTGACACAGGAAGCGCGAGCCGCGCGAGTTTACACAAGCATCCTTCGTGCGACATCTTTGCTTGAAATTTCATAGAGCACTTGCCGGGCCTTGCCACCACCACCGCCACCAAAGCTGTCGCCGCCTTTGCCACCACCCTGCAACAAGATGCTCTGGGGGTGATAATCAGCTGTCTTATCTCTGGCGCTGTGCTTCCGTCTGTCGGACTATCTGCAGAACAACAAAAAACAGGCAGGATGCCGCAGGCCCAAAGCCCCACACCTTCTGTTGGGGCACTGCGCCGGTCACTCTGGAAGCTTGGCTCTTGCCTTGTCCAGCTTTGTGGCTGAAGTGCAGGACACGAACAGCGCATCTTGAGCCAAGCTGCCCTTCTGAGCATTCCATGTCACCTCGAACTGGACCTGGGCGCCTTGTAGCAGCATGCCGCCATCTGTCAGCGCACTTCTGTGGACGAAGATATCATCCCCTCCGCCGTTCCTTGGCACGAAGAAACAGGCATGGGGCAGTGCCCAGTGGACAACGAAATCAGGAATGTCCTGAATCACCCTTCCTTGGTCCAGCCTAGGTTCGGTATGATGAAGCCGAAGCCTTTCTCATCATTCCACGACTTGACGGTGCCGGTCTGCAGGCCGCCATCCATGCCGCCACCCATGCCCATGCCCATTGCACCCATGCCACCCATACCCATCTGACCTCCCATGCCATCCATGCCCATACATCCTCCTCCACCCATCCCTCCCATGCCCATCTGCCCTCCCATGCAACCACCCATTGGCTGTTGCATCTGCCCCATGCCCATTCCGCCCATCTGGCCCATTGGCTGACCCATTCCACCCATCTGGCCCATTCCACCCATGCCTTGCCCCATTTGTGGCTGGCCTCGGTGCAAAACAGTACGCAACAAGCGTTGGAAGCGAGGAGACTGCAGCTTCGGAAGCAACTTCCGCAGAGGAGCCCATCTGTGGCTGCCCCATGCCCATCTGGCCCATGCCCATTCCACCGGCCATTCCGCCCATACCTTCCAGCACGGTGAGGGCTGTCGACGGTCATGCTCATCTAGACTGCCGAATATCAAACCGTCGATCGTTGATCCAGGATTCATGGGTCTGCGCTGAGGTTGAGGCCGCTAGGGTCTGCGCCATTCTGCATTCCCCCACCTCCACCGTCTAGGCCTTGCTTGGGGAGTCAGACCGCATGGGATGACGACGGTGATGGTGGTGCTGCTGCCGCTTCTAGCTACAGCGACAGTACAGGCTCTCCACTTCTCGCTTTATATTGTGCATCACCGTCAACAACAAATGTAATACAGGTGCTCCCAAGAGGCCCGCGCTCTGCTGCTGAGCCTGCGTCGAGACAAACACTACCCATCCTGTTGCTGGCAGCTGCTGCTAACGTCATCCCGGAAGCCGTCAGCTGAAGCCGTCAGGAGGCAAAGCCGCCAAGCACTGTGAATAGACCCAATTAATCTTGCAAGCGTCTTCCACACCCGAATGCTTGAATCTTCACTGGAAACCCTCTCCTGTGCCGGCTGTGCGGCGGCACCATCAGCGCCGGGCTTAGTCCAGGTGACCTGCCCCGAAAGGAGAAGGGATGCATTCCAGTCTGCCATGACCCTGTCCCAGAGCCTCGCCGGTGGCGGTATTGTGGTAATACCTGGCTCAGATGTAAAGAAGCCTGCCATACGGCACGAGCCAGCGAAGCTTTTGCAGCCATGCTGCGGATTGCCAGTATTGGGGTCAACGTGCTCAGCCCATCCTGCGCCGGGCTTGGGCTCTCTAACTCATGTCATGCTGCAGACTGGCGCAAGGAAGGGCTGGATGGAAGCAGTCTAGGAAGTATCCGTCGAGGCCACAGGCCTCCGGCGTCTTGAGGGTTAAACTATGTTCCCACCACCACAAATTTACTGAGATGCGCTTTTTGGAGACCCCCCCCTGCGGCTGGCACCTCCTTGACCTGTGCTTTCCCACCGTTCCAGTCCATTTTGGCCAGTTCCAGACAGTTTTCATCACTTTCCCCCCATTGTGTCCCTATTATGCCCCCTCCCCCCCCTCCGCCCCGGCTGGCCCCTCCTTAACTCCTTTCCCTTTCGTTCGTCCACTTTGACCAATTCCAAACAGTTTTCATCGCTTGTCCCGCCATTCGCCTCCCCTCCCTGCCCTGCCCGGGAGGGGCTTCTGCACTGTCGAGCCGAGGCGGGCTGCGTAATGCAAGAATTAGACTGCAGGGAGAGAGCTCAGACTCCAGAAACACCACCACAAAGCATCACATCAGGGGCCTGGTGGAAGCCCAGACATTTTCGTTGGGGCCTCGTCTTCCCGTCTTCCCCTACGGAGTCTGAGCCACACAAAATCTGCGGAGAAGCACGCTTTCATGCCTGCGTACTGTGCTGAGGTCGGACCAGCTGAAGCCAGCCGTGCATGTCATTGTCCGAAGCACGCCACAGGGTGGGTAAAACGAAAAACCGTTAGCAGAGGGCAGTCATGATGCAAACAGGCATTCGTTGAAGATGCTGCAGCAGAATGGCTTGACAACCAGTGCTAGTTGGTGTTCGAGCTAGCATCCCTCCAAATAACGCATACAAATCATGCACCGGAAAACCTCTACGAGAGCCGAAGGTCCCTTATTGAACCGGTGTTGCTGGCTCCCCGGCGTAGACCAGGGCAGAAAGAAGTAGCAGCGGGGCCTGGCACTCATGCAAGATCGCAATATGCCGACTCTCTTGCCCGCTGTTTGTTCACAGTTGATTGATTGGGAGACGTTGGAATGCTAAATGCAAGCAGCTTGTACGATGTTCGCTGCGTGCCGGACGCGGGTGCAAAGACAACACTCCTCTCTGCGCAGTTGCATTGCATGGAAAAGTATCCTCTGTTTGCATGCACATGAGATTAGTGTCGTGATGCTGTTAGTTTGACCTGTCTAGCTGTCCAAAGCACTGCCGAGGGCACCCGCGCCAGCCGCGCCATTCCTTTCAGCTTCTGCGCCGCTTTGTACCAGCGGCTCTACTAACGCTGGCATGGCAGCAGATGCGAAGTCGCACGATGCACAACAACATCAAGCGAATTTCACTTCTACGACAGCTGGTGAACGTTTTGCCTCCCCGAGATTGAGGCGACCGGCAGCAGTACTATGTCAGTGGCTTGGTTGAGCTTCTTTTTTGCAGGGCGCTCCGCTCTCATGCTTTGCTGCGCACAGGCAGGGCCGGCCATTGCGACTGCCTGGAATCAGCAACATCACAAATCGTCAACAACCACAGGCAAATCCGCGGCACCAACCGCCAAGCAGAGTCAGATGCCAGCAGCACCCGCACCACCAGCACCACCACCACCGCC